TGACGCAGACCGCAAAAATAGGCCAGTGATCTATCTTCCCTGTTTTAAGGAATACACACAAGCATGAATATAAAGTAAAATAAATGATACTAATAGTATGGTTCCTTGTGACATACCTAACGGGTGATTTTTTAAGAGGTATAGGATTTGATTGTCAAAAAAAAACACAAAAATTTTGAGGAAACGATTAAATCTTTATTAGAGTCGATAGAACGGTCGATATAATTTAATTTTTAAAGATTATTTCATGTAAATGTTGGCCGCAGCTCCGCTTTAGGTCCAATTTTGGCACACTCTCCCCAACATATCGGCCGGTATCTCACGAATAAATGCTTCAATATTGGCTTCCAGTGCGTCAATCGTTTCTGGTTTATCACTGTAGATATTAGCCTTAACATGGCCCCACAAGAAATAGTCCAACGGCGTTAAATCACACGATCTAGGCGGCCAATTGACGGGCCCCAAACGTGAGATAAACTGTTCACCGAACTCGCCTCTTAATAGGGCCATTGTTTCGTCTGCGGTGTGGCATGTGGCACCATCTTGTTAAAACCACATGTCAGCCAAGACCAGCTCATCCATTTTGGGCAAAAAAAAGTTTGTTATCATCGCACGGTAGCGCTCGCCATTCACAGTTACGTTCCGGCCATTGTCGTCTTTGAAGAAGTACGGCCCGATGATGCCACCGGCCCATAATCCACACCAAACAGTGATTTTTTCGGGATGCATTGGTAGCTCTTGCAATGCTTCTGGCTGGTCTTCACTCCAGATGCGGCAATTTTGCTTGTTAACGTACCCATTCAACCAGAAATGAGCTTCGTCGCTGAACACAATTTTTCGATAAAAATGTGGATCTTCCTCCAACTTTGCCAGCGCCCATTCACCAAATTGGAAACGTTGTGGAAGATCGTGTGGCTTCAATTCTTGCACCAGCTGTATCTTATAAGGTTTTACACCCAAATCCTGTCGCAAAATTTTCCACGCAGTGGAGTAACAGAGGCCCAATTGCTGCGAACGGCAGCGAATCGAAATTTCACGGTCATCTGTAACACTGGCGGATACAGCCGCAATATTTTCTTCAGTCCTCACTCTATGTCTGCGTGTTGGTGGTTTAATGTCCAATTATGTAAACTGGGTTCAAAATTCAGTCACAAGCTTCCGAATAGCTCCCTCAGTAGGCCGACCAAATTGCCCATAAATTGGAAGCAGTGCTCGATGCACTCTCTTAACCGAGCATGAATTTTGATAGTAAAATTCAATAATTTGCAAGCGTTGTTCGTTCGTAAGTCGATTCATGGTTAAATTATAGACCAAACTGAACAAGTTTGACAATGACACAAGACACGATTCACGCGTCATCTGTCAAAAACAGTGTTGCGAAAAAGGTACTAGCAAAAAAATCACCCATTATAAATAAGGTACAACTTTTGCCTCTGATATTTCAATAACTATTTTTGCAATCTATGTGCCACTGAAGTTGTTATTAAGCGCCCGTTCAACAAAGTTCTCTATAATAAGTTTTAGTTTTAAGAAGTCCTAACAAATTACAACTCTCACCAGATGCTGGTACATGTGACTTGTACAGCACCAAAGGGTATGATCGGTGCTAGACACATGAAGTCATTTATGACGTGTCATCAAAAATGAACCCGCAACGAGCGTGTTAATAAACCTTTTATTGCCTGTAGTAAAGCATAGAAAGCATTAGGCAAAATAGATGTCTAGATGCCCCAATTGAATTTGCAAAGTTTTGAGCTAATGACAAAGTTTTGAATTTAAATTTAATTTTTGGAATAATTCAGTTTTCCGGGAATGCGCACGTGTGCGACGTCATCGAAGCTAGCTGGAAATTGAGGGATGCGTAGGATAAGGGGATAAAGGGAAAGGATCCGACTTTCTTAGGGACCTTTGCAGCTGGATTTTTACAGCTACGTCATTCATGTTTTATTCATCCTACTTCTACAGTGCGTAAGGTCTAAATTTGATTAAGGACTAAGAATGCAGGTATCTTAAAGTGGATAAAATCGAAGGATAGTCCGCTGCGCTGAAAGCCTACCTATCCTGGTTATCGTATGTCGATCACTTCATCAGTTGGATGGAGGATACTTTAGACACTGGAAGTAAGCTAAAACCAACGAATTCGGACTGAGTAGAAAAAGCAAGCATATTATTTGTTTTGAACCAAAATTACGTAGCCAAGATTCAAGTCGCTGAGTCATGTTTGACAAAGTTTATAAATTTTACCTCTTACGTGCCTATACACGAGGATGGTCCCAGAAGTATCTGGCCTGACCTAGAGATGGCGATAGTTGTTTGAAAAATATCATTGTATTAGAAAGTATGCAACCTATAAAGCATATGTGTCAAGTTTGAAGACGCCACGTTGTTTAGTATTTGTTTGGCAGCCATCAATACTGAACGTTTTCAGTGAATTTGTGAAAATGGAGCAAAAAGGTCATCATTATATGGTACAATACTTTTATTTCAAACGCCTCAGCCCAACCAAAAAGCTGAACTGGATTCTACTCTAGGTGAGTCTGCTCCTTCGTTTACAACAGTAAAATATTGGGTGGCAGAGTTAAGACGAGGCCGTATGAGCTGCCAAAACGAGCATCGCAGTGGTCGACCAAATGAGGTGACGATTCCAGAAATGGTGAAGAAAATTCACAAAGCGGTACTGAATGATCGTCGACTGAAAGTACGCGAGCTAGCAGACATAGTAGGCATTTCAAAAACTGCGGATCATCACATATTATCTGAAAATTTGGACATGAGAACGCTGTGTACAAGATGGGTGCCGCGATTGCTCACAATCTAGCAAAAACAGTGTCGTGAAGATGTTTCAATTGAGTGTTTAGCGAAGTTTCACAGCAACAAAGCAGAATGTTTACGTCGTTTCATAAGCATGTATGAAACATGGGTCCATCACTTCACACCCAAGACAAAAGAACAATCAAAACAATGGACTCAAAAGGGACAACTGGCTCCAAAGAACCGTTTCATCTGCAGGCAAGGTTATTATATTAATAATTTTCATTGACTATCTTGAAAAAGGTAAAACTATCATTATGCGAACTTGTTGCAACGTTTGAGCGATGAAATCAAGCAAAAAGGGCCGCATTTGGTTAAGAAGAAAGTGTTGTTTTATCAAGACAATGCACCAGCTCACAAATCGGTTTTTGCAATGGCCGAAATTAACGAATTAAAGTTTGAATTGCAACCTCATGCACCCTATTCACCAGATTTAGCCCCCTCGGATTATTTTCTGTTTCCAAACTTGAAAAAATGGCTCAGTGGTCAAAGATTTTCCAACGACGAAGAAGTGGTGTCGGCAGTTAATGGCTATTTTGAGGAGCAAGACAGTTCTTATTATAAAAAGGGTATCGAACTTATTGAACATCGCTGGGTAAAGTGTATAGAGCTCAAAGGAGATTACGTTAAAAAATAAATACATTTTTTTACAAAATTTTTGTGTTTTCTTCGTTGGGTCGGGTACTTCTGGGACCACTCTCGTAGGGTGTTGGGGAACTAATATTCGTAACTTTAAGAGATGATTCCTTGCATTACTCTAAGCAAAAAAGTGCATTATAACACATGTCCGAAAATCAATCGTTATCAAGGAAAGTGAGTCGAAAATAATAAAATTTTCTCAAACATTTGGCAACGCTGCAACGCAACCGCGATACGAGCGCACGACTATTGCAACTGATTCATCGAATTATTTACGTTTGTGTGATATTATTGTTGCAAAAGTGCCTTGAATTTTATTGAATACTTTTACACAATTTTTTGTAGCTAATGTTTTGTATTTAATAACGCTTTCAGTACATTTACTTAAAAAAAATGACAACTGATCGGTATGTGGCGATGCACACCACCAATTGCCCCGATTATCAGTCACTTATTTGAAACAATGCGATGCACGAAAAAAGAAAAAAAAACAACATCCGTAAATCACATAAAGTTGCAGTTAAATGTACTAGTAGTCTCAAAAACCCGCGATAATACATGCAGTGCAGGCGGAGTACGACGTTGCCAGTTGTGTGAGGGATTTTGTTTGTCTGTTTTTCTTCGGAAAACTGTATTTAATAAGCAAGAAAATTATTTTGTTAGAGACAGTTAATTAATAAATAGAAGTATTGATACATGTTACGTTATTAGGCATATGAATTTAAATTATTAGGGTGCAAAACTAATGTATTTAATGACTAAAAGGAAATAAGTTTAACATTTTTTTGCTCCGAAACGGGCATAGGTTATAATGAACTTTCTTGCTTAAAATAATGCAAGGAATCACCTCTTAAAGTTACGAATATTATTTCCCTAACACCCTGTATATTTTAGAACTATTTTATACGTTCTTAACTATAAAAACAGATTTTGATTAGTAGTCACTGTACATGATACATATATGTTACAATACCAAAAATTCATTGCAAGTTCCATTTGCCAGATGTGATACAGCTGCAGGTTTGTACATTGTAATGGGACCAAAAATTTTCAATCGTCTACCGGCACGGGTATCATGTAAAAAACCTATAAAACGTCAAAAAAACCTATAAGATGTCAACTTGCGGACAAGGTAGTTTTTAGGCCGCAACCAGTCATTCCACGTTTGCTCACTAGGATCGTTGTGAACGTCCATCTATGGAGGAATCACTCAACCAAACTACGCATTATTGGTTGCATAGTGTTGTGATTCTGAGTGATCCGGGTCTGTAGTTTTTATCTCTGAGAAGAAAGTTGGTTGAATAGCAAGATCGCATCTGGATGATTATGTGTATTGGTCTGCATGTGTATAAAATCAGTGATATTTGCTGTGTGTGAAAATCATTACTGAATATGCCGAATATGACGGGTTATTTATATGTTATTCTTTCTGAATAGACATTTATATGTTGATTCCAAATAACGTAGTAGATTTTTTTATACTGCTTCGCGGTGATTAAATAATCAAGTCCCTGGCATCAACGAATGAAGAATATGGTCGAGTTGCTTACCTAACAACATGATGACGACGTCATCTTGTGCGTATTCTTTGATTTCCCCCAGCCACGCTCTGATGTTGTCATAGCTCGTTTTGTTTGTGACGTCATACAGGAGTAAGAGTGCTTGAAAATGGAAAACAGGCAGTTACTGTGAGGTTTGTTTACAGAGAACGAATACTCTTGTATGTCTTTGTGGGGGAAGAAATTGAATAACGTCCATAATAATATAGTTGATTAAGTGATTTGAAGCTTTCTCGAACGCTCCGCAGGTAATTGGTGTTTTGATAATACAAAATAGGTTATGGCCATTTTGAAGAATTTGTAGAGAATCGCACGTGCTGCATGCAATTGAGTTTGCAAAATATGAGGACCGCACTTTATAAACGGATATCAAATGAAGAAAGGTCAAACAACAAGGAACTCTTAAGTAGTAACTAACTAGGCTGACTGATAACAAAAGCTAATTTCAGAAAAGGACAACAGTTACCAAAGTAGCGATTACAATTTCTTCAAAATGGTGATAACTGAAAAAAGTACGTATTTGGGTAAGGACATACATGGATTTTCTGACTGGAAATGACCCCCTATCACTTTCCATGATTTTTGGAACGCTCTGTATATTTAAAAAAGTTAACTGCCTTTATACTTCAATTTAAAGAAAGTGTATGAACAGTCTGCGATTGTCCAATTTTAGCTTAAAAATTGCTTTAAAATAAATCAGACTTGAAATACTCTTCGGGGTCTTGTAGAGAAGGTTTTAGCTTTAATTCAGAAAACTTGAAACCACAAAAATAATGATCTTTAAATGAACTTTTAGTCATTGAAAATTACCACTTCTAGTGTTTTTCGAAGAAATAGAGCTCGAAAACAACAAACTATAGAGAAAAGTTACTAATGACCTTTCTTGTTCAGAGCTATCCGAGAAATCAGAAAAAAAAATGGTTGGAGCCAAAAAAAAAACTCGTTTTTGTAATTATTTAAATTAATTAAAAAACGGACGAAAAATTGGTACAGCAAGATCCGGATTTTTTATTTTGGTTTATGTATGTGTTAATGTTTATGGAGAAACTTACCATGTGCGTCTCTGTAATAAGCGTGTGTGACACTCCTAAACCGTTCTTGTCCTGCAGTATCCCATATTTGCAGCTTAACTTTTGTATTGTCTATTGAAACAACCTTGGTCTGAAAAAATTGGTAAGTGTTTTTTATCTGGAATCTAAAACTAGCAATTACAGTATACTAACTCGAAATACAGGCACAATATCCTATTTATACAAAGTGCTACAGTAGAAAATCAAACATCTGGGGGTTTTCTGATTACATGTCCGTGAGATTAAGATATATCTCTTTTTGAAACCTTGAAGTCGATTGCCAAACGAAACGATACAAAATACTCTAACACATCTCAGAAGATTTATTTAAAACTTCCATTGTCTGAATTTGAATTAAACGTCGACTCAATTGATGGGGTATCTTTAATGAATTTCGGATGAATTATTGAAGATACCTCATTAAATAATATATAACGTCCCCGTTATGTAAGCCAAATGTCTTTAGACAAATGAAGTTCGAAATAAATCTTTTGGAATAGTCTCCTAATCTACAAACTTCAAACAACTTCAAATTCTCAAATATAAGGTAATACATTCTTTTTCCATCTTGTTGTCAAAACGTAACGCGCACAACGTTTATACAGGGTGTTCCTTAATGATATGCAAATATTTAAGGGTGTGAATCTACATGGAAAATTAATGTTAGTCTGCTTCATACCTCCTCAGGTAACCTTTACCGACTATGAAATCTTGTTGGAAGCGATACATAGTCTAGCGTTTTTACATACTGGCAGTATTTTCATTGTTGGGGACTTTAATATAACATCATATGCTGATTATCTTGAAAATAGTATCTCAAATAGTTACATAAACACTTTAAATGTTTTAGCAAGATTTTTCAATGTCATTCAGTATAATTACATACAAAATGACAGTGGAAATTTGCTAGACTTAATTTGGAGCAATGCCATTTGCTATGTTGAACATGCTGATGATGCGTTAGTGTGTGGGGATCCCCATCATCCTGCATTGATTGTCACTGTGAGTCATTTTCCTTCCACCAAACATAATAACGTGTTGCATAGCGACTTCAAAGGTTCATATAATTTTAGGAAAGCTGACTTTCAGCTGCTCTATGAAATGATTGTGAATATTAGCTGGGGCGATTTGAAAAATTTTAGTGACGTTGATTTAGCTTGTGAATATTTCTATTCTGAGATCTATAGAATTCTTGATTATTGTGTTCCTAAAGTTAGAATATCTTATAATAATAAGTATCCTCCTTGGTACAACAGCCATATCATTAGAACCCTCAAACAAAAAATGGTGGCATTCAAGACTTTCAGACGCACTGGTGATACTTATTATATAGAAAAATTTATAAGACTTCGCTCAGAGATAAAGCAACATGTAGCTGTTTCATATCGTCGCTACATTCACTCTTTAGAGTGTGAAAGATCCAACAGCTCCGGCAAATTCTGGTCTTTTGTTAATAGAAAAAGAACCTGCACTGGTATTCCGAAGGATATGCTGTACAATGGGCTGGGATTGAATACACGTAATGATGTTGTTGGCGCATTTGCGGAACACTTTAGTGGGAGCTATAATACTCCAACAGCTCAATCTAATTTTTCTACTGACTACCATTTCACTACTACACTAGCTATGCCTAGTGTACAGGAAATCGATGTGCTACAGGCGCTCAAGAAAATTAAGCCAAAAATGACTGCAGGGCCTGATCAAATACCTTGTGAGAGATTGTGCGTCCATTTTAGCATATCCACTCATGATCATTTTCAATCTCTCTCTGAAAAATAATCACTTTCCATCTATTTGGAAGTTGTCTAGGGTAACTCCTGTTTTTAAAAAAGGTGAGAGGAATTATGTAGAAAACTATCACAATTATCAGTAATTTCGCTAAAACATTCGAAATAGTGATACAAACTGTGCTATATTTTCATGTAAGCAGGTCTATCTCCGTCAGTCAACACTGTTTCATGAAGGGCAGGTCCACAGTTACTAACTTGCTACATCTCACTCAATATGTTTGTGAATCAATCGATAGACAGCTTCAAACAAATGTAATATATACTGATTTCTCTAAAGTTTTTGATAGTTTAGACCATAACATTCTACTCAATAAGTTATCTAGAGCTGGTCTTTCAGATGCATTGTTGCTATTTTTCAGATCTTATTTATGTCATAGGAAACAATATGTTATGTGCAATGGACATAAGTCTAGCGAATTCCCTGTTATGTCCGGTGTTCCTCAAGGATCTAATTTGGGACCTCTGTTATTTATTATGTTCATAAATGATATTTCTGAAGTTATCGATGTCGATTTTCTTATATATGCTGACGATATGAAACTTTTCTGTAGAGTCTCTAACATTGACGATTGTCATCGCTTGCAATGCAACATTGTAAGGGTTGACAGCTGGTGTCGTGAAAACAGACTTGTTTTGAATGCTGCTAAGTGTCACGTTTTGTCGTTTACTTTAAAAACAGGGGTAATGCTGTACGAATATAGTATTGGTGACAGGAAACTTGACAGACCTAGTACAATTAATGACTTGGGAGTCACATTTGACAGAAAACTTTCCTTCTCCTATCACATTGAAAATGCTGTTGTGGCTGCATCAAAGGCGTATGGTTTTATTGTAAGAAATACCGGTGATTTCCACAACTCCTTTACACTGAAAATACTGTACTATGCTTATGTAAGATCTAAGCTTGAGTATGCGTCCCTGGTATGGTATCCTCATCATCAAATATATATTGACCGCTTAGAGTCCGTTCAAAGAAAGTTTTTAAAATACCTCTCATACAAAGCTGACGGGATATATCCCACTATTGGCTTTCCTCATAGTGAGTTGATGGCGAGACACAAAATCTATAATTTAGAGAGCAGACGCAAAATGAATTCACTTAAGTTCATTCACAAGCTCATCCATGGCATTATTGACTCCAGTGTCATCTTAGAACAACTTAACTTCTTAATTCCTAGATTAGCGTCACGAACTAGTTTAACTTTTTACTTAGCCAGGCCTAGGACTGACATACTTAAGTTTTCCCCTATATATATATAATGTGCCGTAATAATAATTCAGTTAATAGCGTTTTAGATATATTTTCGTTTTGTGCGACTTTGGGAGACATTAGTGCTTATTTTCGTTAATGCTTGCTGGTGCGATTGTTGAGTGCTGGGTAGGTAAAGCTAGAACGCTTTTTTTTCCTCCCAGTTCTGTTTTGAGGTTTTCTTTTGCAGCGTTTTAGCTTTCTCTACATACATCCACAACATGCATTTGTTTATATTTTCATGTTTATCCATCCTGTAATTGGCTATGACTGTTGGATGTTGCTAAATAAATAAATAAACTATGATCCAAAAATGCTTCCTTACAAAAATTCGGGGTGTTGAAGTTTTAGGAAAACAATGGAAATTAATTAATAATTTCAGAACCGCTTCAGATATTTCACTGATATTTGGTACGTAGTGAAAGTTAATAAAGTTGTATATTTTTCAAGGCAAAAATTGTTTTTAGCTTAAACAGTGGCGTGCATACGGGTATTGACTTCGATATTTTTCAAGAAAAAAATGGTACGCCAATGGTTTTTTGCCAAATAAAAATAATTTTTTAATTTCCCGTTCAATTTAAAACAAATTATCTCTTCTGCGTTGCTTTCTTTTGATGCGCCGTCTTTGAGTAAAAAAATAAAAACCGTTCTATTGTCTAACTTGCAAAATTATTATTAATTTAAATGGAAAAATTAAACACATTAGGGGTAATGAACAACAAAGACTGACAACATGAACATAACATTAAAACCAACAAAATTATTACAAAAATTGTTGAAAATGGCTTCACAGTATGCATGCTTCCGCCCTCCTTCTCATGGAATTGCGCACTCGTTGAAATATCCCTGGAGTGTTTTTTATTCTATCACAAGCTGCAACTATACTTTCTCTTTATTACTCTACAGTGTTAATGGGACTTGTATACACTAGTGTCTTTAGATAGCCCCACAAAAAAATCTAAACTGTTGAGGTTTGGAGATCCTTGCTGGCCATTCTTGGGGCCCACCGCGGCCAATCCAACGATTTGGATAAACAGTTTGTAAATTATTACGAACCGCTACACTGAAATATGTTGGTGCACCATCATGCATGTACCACATATTGTTTTTTATTACGAATGGAACATTATCAAGCAGCAAAGGCAACTGTTGTTGAAGAAAATTGAGGTAAGTCTGTCCGTCAAGTCGCCCATCAAGAAGAATGGGCCAATAAAGTGGTTGCCAATAATTCCTGCCCATACGTTAACCGAAAATTGGTGTTGGAAATGGGTTTGGGTTACGGCATAAGAATTTTCTTCTGCCCACAAATGATTATTGTGGAAATTCAGAATGGCATTTCGAGAAAAATTAGCTTCGTCCGTGAACAGAATCATTGATCCAAATTGCGGATTTTGTGTAATTTTTTGAAGATACCATTGACAGAAGGCCACACGCCTTGGAAAATCAATGGGAAGTAATGCCTGTACTCTTAAAATATGGTAAGAATGTACCCAAGAAATCCACTAAAATTGTCCAAACAATTTGATGGCAAATATTTAAGTGTCTAGCGACCTTCCTCGTACTCGTCTCTGGATGTTCTTCGAATTCGTGCAGCACTGCTTCCTCAATTTCAGATGTTCTCTCACTTAGAGGTCTACCTTCAGATGTTCCTTTTCGGACATAACCAGTTTCAACAAGGCAACGATGAATGTTAGAAAAGGTTCGGCTATCTGGCAAAACACTATCGGGATATCTCTGGTGATAAATCCGTCTGGCTTGCTCACCATTACCGTCGGCAAGGCCATATACGTAATGCATTTCCGCCATTTCTGCATTTGAATAATTCACCATTATTAACAAAATTGTAAAAATTAAATAATGAAAAACATGTCCCAGCGAACAGATTTGATTAACAGAGACTTGTCAGATGTCAAAAGCCAGTGACATATTCCAGAGCAACTAGATATTTATTGCTAAATTGCATTCATCAATTATTACATTAATTTTCTCGGTCAATACTTTTTTTATTTTTTTTAAAGATCATTTGTTTTAAATTGAACAGGGAATTGAAAAATAATTTTTATTTGCCAAAAAACATTGGCGTACCATTGTTTTAAAATATCGAAGTCAATACCAGTACGCACGCCACTGTTAAAGCTAAAAATTATTTTTGCATTAAAAAATATGCAACTATATTAACTTTCACTATGTACTAAATATCATTGAAATATCTGAAGCGGTTCTGAAATTATTAATCAATTTCTATTTTTTTCCCAAAACTTCAACACCCCGAGTTTTTGTAAGAAAACATTTTTGGACCATAGTTTATAAAGCAAACTAACATTAATTTTTCATGTAGATTCACACCCTTAAATATTCGCGTATCATTAAGGAGCACCCATATTTTTAATATCTTTATGGTAATTCCCTTTATTAACAGGTCTTCTTTTCTAAGATGAATTTATTATTTCATTTATTGACCTTATAAATAAAGCATAAAAGCAATTTCAGAACTTAAATTGCTGCATCTCAAAAATCTCATCGAGTTTTCCGCAGATTTTGTATAGATTTCGTTATTTTTGCACCCATAATGTCTGAAACGACCCTTGTTTTGCTGTATCTGCAACTGTCACAAAACAGGTATCTTTTTCGTTTGTTTTCCAAGTTTACAAAAAATTTGGATAAGTCTAGCCACTAGACCCTGAATGACAAGTAGCGGAACCTGCAGACTGCGTCTAAGGACCAGCACCGGTGACCTATTGTGAAGCAGTTCTAAGTACATACAGTAGAAAGCCGAAACTGACCACTATTTAGGATTTTGACCGAAAAGCCCTAGGAATTAAACCCAAACCTGGCGTTGAGACCATGAAGCTACTTATTGTAGTATATCACCCGAAGATGAGCATGCTAAAGAGCTTCTGAACAAATATCAAAGTCGACTTTTTCTTGTGGCGACCTAATATTAAAACATATGGAGAACATACTAGAGAGATTTGATAATCAGAAATATCTTATATAGTTCCTTTCGCGGTTTTTGGCAGTTACGTCACAATGTTATATGAAATAAGTAAACAGATTGACAAAGGAAATTACACTCTGCGCAAGCAAATGCTTAACGCATCTGCTACTCGCTCTTGCACACATGGGTGATACAGGGCCGTTGCTTTCACTCACTCTATGAATACACTTCTGTAAAATTAATACAGACTGTAGATACTGTAGTTGTACTTTAAGGCATTACTGTTTTGTACCAAAAATCAGCAAACCCAAATCGCACGCCTATGCCAAACAAGTTGTCATTTTGGCAATGACAAGAATAAATGTGGAAAAAAAACTCATACGTTGACGAGAAATTTTTCAAGATGGTGGACAAAACTAAAAAACGTATATCTGTGAGTTTACACAAGCGAGCGGACATAGGGGCCAATTGCATAATACCTATGTACCTGTAGGGAAAATGATTAAATGAAACTAATACAGTGGACCCCCGATAATCCGGCCGCTGTCTAATCTGGCGCCCCCTGTAATCCGACATGTGTTTGAATATTTATTACATACTTACGTATTTGACAATCTTCGCTAATGTAGATCATGCAGGTTTGAACAGGTTACAACTTGTACGCGCCACCGCTATCGTGCTCGACGCGTAAGCATTGTTTTACTTAGTTTGAATTTGACTACTGGTGATAGCGGTATGGCCTAGCGTGCGTTCATTGTTTACTATTTATTCATTGTGTATTAAGTATAGCACCTAGTAATGTCATCACAAACTCAGAAGCGAATGCACAAAACATTGACAATTAAAGAAAAATGTTATATTTTAGACCGCTTAAATCGCAATGAAACTTTCAGTAGTTTAGCAAGTGAATACGGCGTAGTCCGATCTACAATTTATGACGAGAAGATCAAGAAGTTCGTGTCAACTACTACATCCAGAAGTGGAAGAAGCTTTGTACATGTGGTTTCTTCAGGAAGGAAATAGACATGCACCAATTTCAGGACCCATGTTGGCCATGAAAGTTTTTTTATAAGGAAATAACAAAAAAAAGATGATTTTGTGGCCAGCAAAGGATGGCTAGAACGTTTTAAAAGTCGTCATGGCATACGTTTAATGACTATTACAGGAGAGAAACTTTCTAACGATGCCACCTGCATAGAGCCCTTTAAATTAAGATTTTTGCAAAAGGTAAACGATTTAAATCTTGACCCGTCACAGGTGTACAACGCAGACGAATGAGGGCTTTTTTTGGCGCCTAACAAAACTTTCGTTTCTGGTAACGAAAAATCTGTACCTGGACGAAAAGTAAGTAAAGAGCGTGTAACCATACTACGATGTGCTAACGCTGCGGGCACACACGCGCTTAAGATGATGGTCATTGGGAAATAAACCACGGGCATTCAAAAACATTTTTTTTAGCTGTACAGACAAAAAAGTGCATGGATGACAAAAGACCTTTTCAAAAAGTGGTTTGATGAATGCTTCGTACCTGAAATTAGAAGATGGTTAAAATATCATAATTTTCCTCAAAAAGCGTTGTTGCTTCTTGATAACGCTCCCGGTCATCCGTCTGAAGAAGAACTAACAACTGAGGATAAATGCATCACTGCGATGTTTCTTTCGCCAAATTGCACTGCACTGATTCAACCAATGGACCAGAATATCATTCAGTTTGTCAAGCAAGACTATAAGAAAAACCTACTTCTCAGAGTATCAAAAGACCGACCAATAGAAAAAACTTTAAAAAGAATTTAATATGAAATACTTGGTTTTTGCTCTTTGCCAGTCGTGGAATGCGTTACCGTCATCAACTATTAAGTCGTCTTGGAAAAAGTTATGGCCAGATATAGTCACCACTCCTAGCAACGTTCCACAAATCAGTGATACTTCGGAAGTTATAGAACAAGTTGCTACTGAAACACTGATATGTCCGGAAGATTTGGAAATCTGGTGCCGTGGAATGGATAAAGAGGAAAATGTTTTTCATCAAATGTCTGACGAAGAGATTATAAAAGAGGTTTCTAATTATACAACAAATAATCAGGAAAATAACGACGACGTGATAGCAACTGCTCCACAAGTCACAGCACAAGACGCAATTAACGCCTTTGAGCTAGGTTTACAATGGGCTGAAGGGAATGGTACATCCTACAACGAACTTTTACTTTTGAGAAGATTGAGGGACAAAGCTCTGATCTCGCGTTATAACAACCTTAAACAAAAAAATTGATGAATATTTCCAAGCTTCATAATCTGATAAATTCTTTAATGATTTTGATTAATAATTCTTGATTATTTTGGTACATATGTATGTGCATTTATGCTTAATTTTATAATAAAACGTAAGCTCTCTATCGTTATTTAATTTACTAAATTCGACATACATAAACTATGTATGATTTGTACTTCAAAGTACATACATATACATAGCATATATAATCTTACAAATGGGTATGTAATTTGTCGGATTACAAGGTACTCTTTTGTAAAAAATTCCGGACTATAGGAGGTCTTAGGCAGTGCTCTATAATCCGACAAATTCGATAGTCCGACGCTGCCCTGCATAATGTTCGTCGGATTACCGGAGGTCCACTGTACCTGTAGTTTTACTGTGCTCCGCCAAGAACTGTGAAAAGATCTGTACGTGAACATTGACGTCAATCTAACTTGATACAAGTCATTGTCTCTACAGCGTCAATGTAACACCACAATGTTTATGATTAACTCCTGGTTTAATGGCAATTACCTTTTTTTAAATACAGACAAAACTGGAGCCGTTGCGGATTCCTTTGTAGCTGCAAATAATTGCGATTGTATAAAGCTCCTGGCCTTTGTATCGATCCATGTTCAAATTGGGAATGTCACTGCAGCCATTTGAATTCTCAATTGCATTAAACTGCATTCTTAATGAATAATTTGAGCTCAGTCCTGACATTTGATCAACTATTGTTGTTTTACCATGGTCAGGTGAACAGCGGTCTTCGAGATTGTATCTGCTTTTGAGGCAGGAGTACACCAACACAAGATGTGTTCGTGGCACAAAAGCAGACATTAGGCTGTCTAACAGGCATATGTTTAAAGAATTATTCAAGAGATACGGTATTATAACAGCTATGGACAGTTAGCGCTAGCTTTTTTCAAAGATACATTATTTGGCGACATATTCTGCAAAGCTGATAGGGACATATCTATATGTTTTTTCTGATTGGAAATAACCCCTACCATTCCATTTCGTTTGATCCATGATTTTAGGACGCCTCGTGTTTGTAACGACTAACCAAATTAACAATAATTGTCTATTTACCACTTCCTTCTACACCTTACCCTAAAGTCCACCCCAACAGTGGATATAAAATTCCCAGCAAGGAACCGTCCCTCTCGGAATCTCATCAGAATGCATGTCTTGCCAACGCCGGAGTCCCCCAGGAGCATGACCTTGAATTTGCAACAGGAATATCTCATGAATGATGCTGCCAATGCAATGCATACTACGGACACCGCATTCTCAGTTACATGTGCATGCGTTTGTGTGAAATATCATGGGCAATGAGTGTGTGTAGATGCATGGGGGGCACAGACAGGGTAGGGATAAAGGGTATTATCAGTCATAGAAGCTAGGAAACATGATGTTAAGCGTGTTGAATCAGCCTACGTACAAGTTCAAAATCCTTGACACATAAATTCTCTTTTGTCGGATATTTTAGAAATTGAAATGGCATCATTAGCAACTTACTCCAGTCTGAAAGATACAGATCAATAGGGCTATTACGTGAAAAACTTATAAAACGCCAAAAAAAAAACGACAATATATACAGGGTGTCCCAGAAGTCGACGTCAAGCCGAAACCGGGTGATAGGCAAAGTCATAACAGCTATCAGAAAAATATTTAAAAAAATTTTATGTATGTGTTTTGAAAATTATAGGTCTTTGGAAAAAATATAGAAATTTCACACCCTACGGCTGTCTGTCAACTCCTGTTACTACAAATATTAACTTTTTTTGGATTTTATTTTTACAATGTAATGATGAATAATGCATCTTCAAACTGGTGTCTCAACCTTACTGCCAACTTTTCTCGTTCAGGAAAAATTGCCACTTATTTCCCAACCAAGTATTCCAAAGTAAAACTGCTCAACTTTAACTGGCTGTACTGGAAAAAAATGTACTACGAGAGTTTGGCAAGTAACCTTAAAAGTTGGCGCATTTAATAACGATTCCAAAATGGTATAACACTTAGAAGATTACTCGTTAACTTATGCACAATTTTTATTTGAAGAAAAACTGATGAAAATTTTTCAAAATTTCCTAATTAAACAGCGATTATGAAAATGCACAAGGACCCTTAATGGTAACTGTTTGCACAACAGTGGGCATCAAAATGCTGCTGATGATGATTTACCTTTACAGCAAATGCTCAAACTGTTTTCCTTCAGCCGCAATACACGCTCGACATATTCTTAAAAAAGATCGGGTTATTAAACGATCGAATCCACGGTTATTAACAAACTCAGCTGCTTCCAATAGTCTTTGCCGTAGCTCAGCTACATTTTGAATCGGCTTGAAATACACTTTTTCTTTTACAGTTCCCCAGTAAAAAAAATCTAACGGATTCAAATCTGGTGACTGGGCTGGCCACGGTATTGTACCAGACCGCCCTATCCCTCTGCCTGGAAAGTTTTGATCGAGATACCCTCTCACTGAGAGTGCATAGTGCGCTGGGCAGCCATCATGCTGAAACCACATGTCCCTGTAAATACTCAGTGGCACGTCCTCCAATAAATTTTCTAAATGATTTTGCATAAAACCTAAATAAACCTCAGCAGTCAAAGTCTCTGGGAACTCAAATGGAACGATTATTTTACCATTTAAAATTCCTGCCCAATGGTTTATCTTGAAGCGAAATTGAGATTTATCTTCTCTCATCAAATGTGGGTTTGCTACGTGCCACTCGTGTCAGTTATGCAGGTTTATGTACCCATCTTTCTTAAATGTGGCTCATCTGACCATAAAATTTTTCCAAAGAACCGTGGATCTTCCCTGTGTCTTTCTAACATTGTGCGACAAAAAGCAACTCGGGGCTCATAATCCCGGGGCAGAAGAGCTTGAACACGCTGTGTTGCTATTGCACGCACTGAAGTACTCGGGTCTTCTTCGACAGCTCCTAGCACCACGTCTTCGTAAGGAAGGAAAGATCTTCCCTCGCCGTGTGATTGGTTTGGTAGTTGGCCCTCAGAGAACACTCGATGATCTGGATGACGAGCTGCATTCGGGTACCTCTCACAGTAAAGTCTCGCTGCAGCACTAGCGTTGCATCTGCATTCCCCATAAATGAGGTGCATGTTAGCATATTCTTGTACGGTGTACACGGACATAGCGGCACTGCACAATCACACTATCAAAGATAGTCTAAGGAAAGCAAATGTTGTTTTGAAGAGCAATTAAACAGTCCAAATCCAAATCACAAGCGATCAACAGTCCAGTTCACGAATCCAAAATTAGTAACAGTACGAAATCAACAAGCACGAACATGTAAAGATGCGCAGTAAACGAAGGAATACTGATCGGTATCAAAGTAGCAAGTAAGTGATGTGCTTCATCCATACCACATACAGCGTGTTCAACCTCTCCTGCCCCGGGATTATGAGCCCCGCGTTGCTTTTTGTCGCACAATGTTAGAAAGACACAGGAAAGATCCACAGTTCTTTGAAATAATTTTATGGTCGGATGAGACCACATTTAAGAAAGATGGGTACATGAACCTGCATAACTTACACGAGTGGCACGTAGCAAACCCACATTTGATGAGAAAAGATAAATCTCAATATCGCTTGAAGATAAACCATTGGACAGGAATTTTAAATGGTTAAATAATCGGTCCGTTTGAGTTCCCAGAGACTTTGACTGCTGAAGTTTATTTGGATTTTTTGAACAATCATGTACAAAATTTATTGGTGGACGTGCCACTGAGTATTTACAGGGACATGTGGTTTCAGCATGATGGCTGCCCAGTGCACTATGCACTCTCAGTGAGAGAGTATCTCGATCAAAACTTTCCAGGCAGATGGATAAGACGGTCTGGTACAATACCTTGGCCAGCCCGATCACCTGATTTGAATCCTTTAGATTTTTTTACTGGAGAACTGTAAAAGAAAAAGTGTATTTCAAGACGATTCAAATTGTAGCTGAGCTACGGCAAATACTATTGGAAGTAGCTGAGTTTGTTAATAACCGTGGATTCGCTCGTTTAATAACCCGATCTTTTTTAAGAAGATGTCGAGCGTGTATTGCGGCTGAAGGAAAACAGTTTGAGCATTTGCTGTAAAGGCAAATCATCATCAGCAGCATTTTGACGCCCACTGTTGTGCAAACAGTTATCCTTAAGGGTACTTGTGCATTTTCATAATCGCTGTTTAATTAGGAAATTTTGAAAAATTTTCATCGGTTTTTTTTCAAATAAAAATTGTGCATAAGTTAACGAGTAATCTTCTAAGTGTTATACCATTTTGGAATCGTTATTAAATGAGCCAACTTTTAAGGTTACTTGCCAAACTCTCGTAGTACATTTTTTTCCAGTACAGCCAGTTAAAGTTGAGCAAAGTTTTACTTTGGAATACTTGGTTGGGAAATAAGTGGCAATTTTTCCTGAACGAGAAAAGTTGCCAGTAAGGTTGAGACACCAGTTTGAAGATGCATTATTCATCATTGCATTGTAAAAATAAAATCCAAAAAAAGTTAATATTTGTAGTAACAAGAGTTCACAGACTTCCGTAGGGTGTGAAATTTCTATATCTTTTTCAAAGACCTATAATTTTCAAAACACATACATAAAATGTTTTTAAATATTTTTCTGATAGCTGTTATAACTTTGCCTATCACCCGGTTTCGGCTTGACGTCGACTTCTGGGACACCCTGTATACTTGCTGTCTAGACAGCTCCTAATGTTCAAATAGTACATTCCGCGTTTGATCGCTATAAAAGCTGTAAGCGTCATCAAAAGCGTCCATCTATGGAAGAATGACTCAAGGACACGACACGCTCATCGATGACCATGCTCCAAGCTGCGAGGCACTTCCCCATCATGCTTTGCTGGTTGCAGAATGCCAAGGTAGTATGTAGAGTATACTCTGAGAAGATGTACGGTAGAGTAAGAGAGTAGCAAGGTCACATCTCGATAACTGTGTGTATTGGTCTGTACGTGTATAAAATCAGAAATGAGAGAAAATTATTACTTAACATGCGCCAGACGGGTTACTTGTGTTGTCCTTTCTGAAGAGATTTTCAAACTTATAAATTACGATTTTCCCCGTTTCTTTTTGCGTTCTCAAAAACTTTGAGAAACATCAGGGAAATCAGCACCGTTTTGTGTAATTAAGCTACATCACAGAAAAGACATTTTCGCACTGCCCCCCAACTAGGCGCTCATTTGTATTTTCTACTAGACAACATAAAATGAATTTCTATAAAATTTAAATCTCTGAAAATAAAAATTAATCTGAAATGTAATTACTTTCTTACGTTTCATAAATATTTCTGTATGAAATATTTTCTCACCTGCTAGTTTTCATATACTTCACCAGGAATTTTATTTTCTCATCGCTTTCTATAGAATAAAAATATTTAAATTTCTTGTATTTAATTGGGTTTGGGTTTCAAAGAAACACAGCTTTCTGCTATAACGTTGCCGACGTTTCAGATGAATTCATTTCCTTCTACAAGGCTCCTTTCATTTAGAAACTGTGGTATTCAAGTAATTCAACGTTATGCATATCTTAGATATTGATATTTTGGCTAAAACTTATTAACAAAACAATGAAAGGCTGTTATAGGGATATAGAAAATATTTAAATCTGATAAAATCGGATGCAGTGACAGAAATTATACAGGGTGTTTCAGTTTATTGTTGCATAACTTTAAGATTCGATAGAACTTTTAAAATTAATGCATAAAATCTATATAAGCTTGGGTCGAAAAATGCGTGGCTTCCGAAATACAGGGTGTTTAAATTTGCTTTCTAAATTAGTTTTTTTTAAATATTTCGAACAATATTTGATGTATAACAGTGAAAATTGGTATACAAGGGTTTTTTGGTACGACAAAACGAATCATCGGCATGGTTTTACTGTAGCCGCTAGAGGGCGCTCTCTACAGTACCTGTAGTGTATTAAAATGACCGAAAATTTTTTCTTAGTGCAATTTTTTGCTTTTTGAATAAAAAAACTGATTCTTCGCACTTTTCAACACAAAAAAGCTCTCCTGTGAGTTTTCGTTATAGTTAGCCGTTTTTGAGATACTTAGATCTTTAAGGTTCGATGCATTTTTAATTATTTATGGGAAAATGATATTTTTTTTTACATTTCCGATTTGGGCATTACAAGTAATTAAGATGATCGTTTAGATTGTGTTTTTAAACACAGCAATAATTCCTAACTCCAAA